TGATAATTTCGTTTATTAATCGACCAGGAAGTCAAACTATTATAATACTACATTTTGTTAGTATTATGGAAATAAATTTTAACATCTAGATATAAGTACAAATCCAAAAGGCATGTTGCATGTTATGTAATGTGTCCTTGGTGTGTTATTTTAGAGCATTTATTCTATACACTAATTTTCATAAATGTATCATAAATCTTGGAAATTATTTTAATTCTTTATATATTGCTGTTGAGCTTACTTTTTGTCCTTGGCACCTGTCCTTGATGTTGTTCTTGGTGTGATTCTCTCTGCATGTTTTTGTAATCCACCAAGATGTTATAAATGTGAAGTTTGTCCTCTAAAAAATATTTAGTTAAAAGGTATTCATAATTCTGTTAAAATAAGTTAAATGGAAGTTTTATTAAGCTATGTGTTCTTGGTGTTCTGCACAGGTATGATACTTATTCAATCGAACAATGTATCAAACATTCTGGTGACTGTTTATAGTCAATAGAAAGTTGAAAATTAATATGAAATACGTGTCACATGTTTATTATTCGTTTTGCGATTTGTCCTTGGTTTTGTGTTATTGGCGTGTCCTTTAGAGGTATATAAAGCAACATTACAATAACAATTATTGTTGGCCAGAGTATAATGAACATTCACTAAAAATTTTAGCTTATTATCTTTAAAATTGGTGAAGATATGATTTTTGCCTCAAAAGTGGCATTTCTGGACCACTGTGCGATGCAAAAATGAATTTAGGAAATGATAACGTTATTAAAGATAAGTTGGCTGAACTTAAAGATATATCTTTAAGTTCAGCCAACTTATCTTTAATAACGTTATCATTTCCTAAATTCATTTTTGCATCGCACAGTGGTCCAGTCGCACAGTGGCGACTCCTATAGGAGTCGCCGAAATAATTTGAAATTTAATGGTATAGAAGAAAAGGAAATTAAAACCTGGCAAGAAACTGAAGGTAAAATAAAAGAACTTTTAAAAGATAAGTTGGGACTAAATGGTAATATAGAAATTGAAAGAGCTCATAGAGTTGGAAAAAAGGAGTTGGGTGATAAAAGAAAAAATAGAACTATTGTTGTAAAATTTTTAAGCTTTAAAGACAAGAACGCGATTGTGGAAAAGTTCGTAAATACCATGAAAGTAAGAAGAAATTTATTCGCGGAAGCAAAAGAGCTACGATGAAAAGGAAAGTATGCTAAATTATTCACACGCGATTTTAAGTAAATTTTATTTTCATTTTATAGTTATAAAATTATTTAAATTCTAAATTCTAAAATGGATTCAAACCAACAAAATAGTTTCGAGTCAAGTTCATTTAGCTTTTTTCAAACTAATGGTTTTTTACTTGATAATGAATCCGATCCTGACATAAATTATTTTAGTGAAGCAAGTGCTCTGCAAAACTGCTCTTATTTTTATAACAATGAATTGAAAGATTTTCTTAAAGGGGATTTTCTTAATGTTATTCTTTTTAATATAAGAAGCTTAAAAAAAAATTTTGATACTTTTCATAGTAATATAGAAGAAACTTCTAATATTTTTAACATAATTTGCATTACAGAAACATGGTGCTGCTCTGATAATGTTAAAAATTCAAATCTCCATCTTCCAGGTTTTAATTTAATTTCTTTAGCGCGTAAAAATAAAAAGCATGGTGGTGGTGTTTTTTTTTACGTGAATGAATGCTTGCGGTTTATTAACAGGCCAGACCTAAGTATTTCTGATGGCGAAAAAGAGGTTTTAAGTATTGAAATTTCAACTAAAAATACCATGAATATAATTTTAAGCTGTTGTTATCGCCCACCAAATGGCGTAGTTGAGAATTTTAATGCATTTTTACATAATGATATAATTAAAAAAAATATCCACGAAAGGAAATTAAACAACATAATTGGTGATTTTAATTTAAATTGTTTTGAATACCATACTAATAATAACATTGAAAAATTTTACAATGGCATTTTTGAAATTGGAGCGATACCGTTAATAAATAAGCCTACCAGAATATCATCAACATCATCATCTATATTAGATAATATAAATAACAACTGACGTTTTTAACTTATCTTTAAAAAAAGGTATTATTAAAAGTGACGTCTCTGATCACTTTCCTATTTTTTTCTCCATAAACACAGACATCAAAAAAATTCTACACCAAAATAAACCTTTCATTAAACGTTTTTTTACGGAAGCGAATTGATTTGCTTTTAAGGAACAATTATCTTTACTTCATTGAAAACACATAGATTCTAATGATGCTAATTTAGCCTATAATTCATTTTTAAAAACATTTTTTGAAATTTATGATATTAATTTTCCTCAACATAAAATACTAAAAAAAATAAAGATTTCACGTCACCATGGATTACAAAAGATCTCAGAAAAAGTTCTAAAGTTAAGCAAAAGTTGTATATAAAGTATTTAAAAACGAGGACATTAGAAAGTAAGACAATTTATAAGAGTTACGCTAAAAATTTTGAAATCCAAAGAAAAAATTTAAAAAAAAGATACTATATAAATTTACTAGAAAAGTATAAAGAGAATTCAAAGCAAACATGGCAAATTATAAGGGAAATTACAGGCAGTAAGAAATTGATAGCTAGCTCTCTTTCTAGAGCTATTAAAATTGATAATAAAATATTTTATGATCCGAGAATTGTAGCAAATAAAATGAATGAATTCTTTACTTAATGTTAGACCAAGTTTAGCAAAGAAAATTTCTAATATAAATAAAATAATAAACAGATGTAGTTTTCCTTTAGTATCTTGTCTAAAGTCTTTTGAATTGTCTTTTGATGAATTTGATAGAGCTTTTAAAATTCTAAAGCAAAATAAAGCAGTCGGTCCTGATGATATCAATGGAAACATTGTTATTTATTCCTATGATATTATCAAAAAATATCCTATTTAAAATATTTAAATGTTCAATTCAACAAGGAATTTTTCCTGATGAATTAAAAATAGCTAGAGTTTCACCAATATTTATAGGTGGAGACTTACTTAATGTTAGTAATTACCGTCCACTATCTGTTCTCTCTGTTTTCTCAAAAATTATAGAGAGAATTCTTTATAATAAAATTTTGAATCATCTTTCTCAAAATAATATCCTATACAAAAATTAATATGGATTTAAAAAAAAATAACTCCACTGAACACGCTATACTTCAAATAACACAATATATTACTAAATCATTTGAAAATTCCAAGTTTACTTTAGGCATTTTTATTGACTTGTCTAAAGCCTTCGATACGATTGATCATAAAATTCTATTCAAAAAACTTAAATATTATGTAATCTCTGGCAGTGTTTTGAAGCTTTTAAAAAGTTATTTAAGCAATAGAAAGCAATTTGTTCACTATGACATATCATCGAAATCAAAATTGTTAGATATAACATGTGGAGTTCCCCAAGGGTCTGTCCTAGGACCACTACTATTTCTCATATACATAAACGATCTCTATGAAGCATCTAATTTAATGACAATTATGTTTGCTGACGACACGAACTTTTTTTTCTTATCTCATAGCAACATAGCAACACTATTTCAAAGTATAAACATAGAATTAATTAAAATTTCTAAATGGTTTAAATTAAATAAGCTTACTCTTAATATTGAAAAAACAAAATGTTCTCTTTTTCATCCATGCTACAAAAAGTATCTTCTACCGGGTGAATTGCCTGCTCTTTCTATAGATGACATGCAAATTAAAAGAGTAACGGCTACAAATTTTTTTAGGAGTTTTTATTGATGAAAATCTGACATGGAAAAAACACATTGAAAACTTATCATCTAAAATTTCCAAATGTATAGGAATACTATTCAAAATAAAAAACATGCTAAATAGACATACATTAGTTCAGTTATACCACTCTTTTATTTTTAACTATACTTTTATTGCCATCTGAACTATGCTAATGCGGCTTGGGGTAGTGTTAGCAAAACTAAATTAGAACCACTTTATCGCCAACAGAAACATGTTGCACGACTTATTAATTTTAAAAATCGTTTATATCATGCTAAGCTTCTTTAAAACGAAATGAATATTCTTAATATATATCAACTTAATATTTTTAATGTATTGTCTTTTATGTTTAAATGTAAAACACGCACATCTCCAATTTCTTTTCACAATTTATATTCTTTAAAAGTTAAAAATAAATACAATTTTACATTAAAACTTACTAATAAGTACTCACTAAGAAATAAAGATTTGCTAAATGTATTTTGCATTAATTGCATTTTGTAGAACAAATTTTAATAAATTTTGTATTAATTATAGAGCACCTTCCCAGTACGCACAAAGACGTTTAAAAGACGTTTTAAAGATGTCTTAAAGGAGGTCTAAAAGGCGCACTTGTAGACGTCTAGATGATCATAAGGCTAAAAGACGTCTAAATGAAGACGTCTTTATAAAAACGTTTTAGACGTATTTTAAACGTTTTTTTAAGATAAATTTAAGTACATGACGTAACATTTTTGCGCAGTATGTGGTATATATTCATTGTATTTATAACATCATATATTGTTTTAATTTCGTATACACAAAATATACATAGGAACCAGCAATCAAATTAATATTGCTGTAATCACCACCAACGGTTGATGCATCAAAGATGAAAATAATAAATAACATTAACAAATATATATCAAAACAGTGTTTAAAACATTTATAATTTACCTTTAGATATAACAAAATTTATCATACGTATAGAAAGCTAATTTTTGACCGCATAATTGACTTATTATATGGCTTGTGGGTGTATAAAAACTTAAAATACCCCAGCAAGGACAAGACGTATTCAATACGTATTATTTTAATATTATTCACATCTTTTCTAGAGTAGACGATAAAAATACGCATAAAAAACGAATTTTCAAGATGAGTTTTAGCTAAATATAAAACTTATATTTAAGAGACGTATTAAATACGTATTATTTCTATATATGAAAGATATCTTTCGCAAACAAATATAATACGTGTTTAAAACGTCTTTAAAAGACTAAAGTCATCATTAAAAAATGTTTTAAATACTTTTTTTTGAAGTTTTTATTTGAGACCACAAAGGCATGCGAAAAAAATGTGTATTCTGAACGTCTTTTGAAGACGACCTTTAGTCGAATATATTTGAATAAAGATAAATACTAATTGTAAAAAATAAATGTTGTTATTCAGCTATTGCTTCTTATTTATTGACTCGATTTATAGACAGCTTTTTGTACATCTTTACGTTCTTGGTTGTTACTCTATTCTCCAGTTAAGTTATTCTCTAAACACAACATTATTAACCAATCACCTTACACTTTCATCCTCCAATCAATTAAGATATTTTTTGACCAATAGCGTTATTATTTACTAAGGCTTCGCTTGAGGGATATTTTGATTAACCGCAATTTTACGTCATACAACATCTGTGTATAATATCACAATTTACATGCGCTCTTTAAACTGCTCATTGGCATTGCGCAAAATATCCTTCAAGACTTATTCTTATTCAATATCAAATTATGGTAAGTCTTTTATCTTAATTGTTTTTTATTTTGTTGTGTGTTTGTTTGCCTTCAATTTGTACTTGAGTATTTAGGAATAATTTTACTTGAGTATTTAGGAATAATTTAACTTATAAGTTTTTTGTATTCTAATGTTACTTCTTGCGCAACGTGTTTTAATAATTTTCTAAAAAGTATATCAGCGTAATTTGTTTAAAATGGATCAAGTTAGGGTATTTGGCTGAGCAGTAGTATGTCCTCTCAAATGTTGCAACATAAGAAGGCTTTGACGCAGACGTAGAGGTGGGTTTTATTTGCTTGTTTTGAGGATGTTACCCCGACGGGAGTTTCTAGAAATGAGCATTAAAACATTCGAAACGTCAAATACCAGAGTATTATCTTTATAAGGATCAATACAATGTCCACTTCCTGACGAGAATCTGGTATTATACTACATAATTTTGAATTTTATTTTAACGCTGATGTATTTTTATTTTCTTTCTTTAAACAATCATGCGCGCGTTTCCACTTTATATTAAATGTTTGTTTTTGTTGTTTGTTGTAATACTTCTGCTTTAAAGTTGTACTTTTTATCTAAAGAATTGAGTAATTGTGTTATATTAGGTTAATTGTGTATCACATTATGCTTACCACAACGATAGCAATTGTTAATAGTTGTTTTGATTTTTGTTAAATGTTTTTGAATGTTTATCTGATAAATTCAGATAGGTTTACTTAGATATTCTTTTGTTTTTATCTGTGGCTGAAGGTATTCGGGTTGCATGTAAATAAACAGAATTATTGTATTTGTTGATCTTTGAGTATATAAATTAAATTTAAAACGAATATTTTTATTATAAGGTTGCATGCTTTTAAGGTATTTTTGCACGTTTGCATGCGTCTAAGGCATTTACGTCTAAATATGTTCCACTAGTGACTATACTCACTTATTCTAGTTGCGAACCTGATATGTAAAGAGAACATGATAAGACTAGACTGAGCGAGACTAAGAACCATTATTTACGAACACACAGATTCAAAGCAATAAAAACACTAAATGACACATAAAACTTTAACGTTTAGAACAATACAAACACAAAACACAATAACTTACAGAACACTGCAACAACACGTACTTAAATCTAACATGACCACCACTTACTTAACTCAAACTTAATTACTGAATAGTACCCTTCTTTTAAACAACAACTCTTAATTCTGGACATCTGTCCAAATATTATAATTTATCTTGCACTTCCTTGCACTTATATAAAATATTTCTTGCTTCTCTTAAGACTATTACGGCCTGATGGTTCCATATAAGTGGTGGAACTTTAATAGCTTCCACTGCGAACTTACTTTTTATGCGTTCTGATTGATTTGTTTTAAAACAATTTGTTGCAGCTTTTTTTTAAATTACATTTTTTTATACAATAACAGTCAAAATAAGCGGTAAACAAGAATGAATTTAACAACATTCAGATCTCACCTTCAGATCTTACCTTTAATATTTTTTCGATTTTAGATTATTTTCCGTAAACCTGATGGCGAATATGAACATTAAAGGGAGTAAACGTAAAGGCAGAGAAAACAAAATATCGTTTGAAAACCTTAAGTTAAAGGACGTTATGTTTGGTGAGATACAATTTATATTGTACATAGTCATTTTTTTCAAAAATGATAAATGCGACACTTAAGTGTCGTATTCAACTATATATATATTAAGCTGACGATATTTTTAATTTTAAATATTTTTGCTTAACTTATTTTAGAAGCGTTACAAGACAGGTATACCGTTAGTGAAAAAGAATTATTTAGAGTTGTCGGGAATAAACTAAAGAATGCACCAGGAAGATTGAACCATTCCATTGATATCTAACATTTATATTATATTATATGTATATAGTTTATGTTATAGTATATAGTTACTTTTTTTAAATAAATAAACAATAATATTATACAATTCAAAGTGTTTCCAATAGTTGTAGAAATGTTGTACAACAGTTCTGTAACAACTTTGTTTTATAATGGAAACGTTGTCTAGCATAGTTGCACAAATTAACGTCGGTTGTACAACACAATTTTTGTGGTAAAACAATGGCTGCGAAGATAGAAATTAATCTATTTCCGCAATAATTATACAACGGTAGATAATACAACAATCTACTCTTCATTTTGCGAACATGTATTACAGATTTGACATCTATAAATAAACAGATTTGCATTTAATACAGAAATTATAGAAACCTAATAATTTTAAATACGTCTTATATACGTCTATTATCAACGCATTTTATTTATCTAATTAATACGAATTATAGATTTGCATTTAATACTTAAATTATAGATATCTGAGACGTATTTTAAATACGTATATTATACGTCATTACCAACGCATTGTAATCATCTAATTAATACGTATTATAGATTTGCATTTAAGAATTAGAATATACGTATCGAAGAGTAGGACAAAGACGTATTTTATATGTATAATATACGTATTTTTCCTTGCTGGGACTGATATTTAACTTATATATTATTCTTGCCATTTTCACTTATTATCATGATCAGTCTACTATCTATTAAAAAAGCAAAATAATTATTAAAAAAAAAAAGATATATTAACATTATAGCAATTATTTTAGTGATTCCTGTGACAATAATTTTAGCAATTGTGTAAAAAAGTAATTTAATTTAAAGTAATTTACACTTAAAACTTGAACAAATTATTGAAAAAAATAAAAACATGTTTTTACTTTGAATATTCGACATCTACTTAACGCGTAATGACAAAGCCGTCAAAAAGAAGTCATAATGACATATTTATAAACAGGTCTCACAAAAGACGTCTTTTAGCCTTGATCTAGACGTTTTTTAATGCGTCTTTTAAACTATTTATTATGCGTCTTTTAAACGTTTTTTTAAACTTTAAAAAGACGCATTTTAAACGTCATTTTAAAATCGCATTTATTAAAGACGTCTAGAAGATGTCGTAAAAAAAGATATCTTCTAGACGTTTTTTTAACGCTTAAATAGACGCCTGTTAAACGTCATTTTAAAAACGCTTTTATAAAAGACGTCTAAAGGATGTCTTCAAAACGTCTATAAAAGTGCGTCTTTACCTAGACTAGTTTTAGACGTCTATAAGTGTCTAAAATGCGTCTTGTGCTTACTGGGTTACCTTTGGAATAAAACAGTTCTGCCTAATTTTGATCCTTTTATCCGTTTTTCTGTTTTTAAAAATGAATTTAAAAAATTCATTCTTGCTATGGATGACATTTTAAGTTACTATTAGCTTGAAGTATAAACTTGATTTATGAGATTTATAATAATAATTTATTTTCTTTAATTTATATCAGATCTATAAAATTTATTATTATGGATTATTATAACAGATTTGTGAGAATTATTATTACAGATACGTGATTAATATTATGAATTTATTATTATATATTTATTATTACGGCCGTTTTTGGATTTATATTTTCAGTTTTTATGGTATGATAAAATTGTAAAGGTTCTGATGATAAGAACAGTAGATCTTCTTTCAGAAGCCTTGTTTTCTTTGTTCTTGTAAAATATAGTATTTATTTTACGACAAATGTAAACAGAAAAAAATAAAAAACTAAAAAAAAAACTAATTTTGGTAAGTTTTGCTTTTCATTTAGAGAAGCATTTTTATGGAACAAAGTAGTATTTTGATTTTTCACAAGAATGGAGCTTTCTCTTATTTAAAAGAAAGTATATATATATATATATATATATATATATATATATATATATATATATATATATATATATATATATATATATATATATATATATATATATATATATATATATATATATATATATATATATATATATATATATATATATATATATATATATATATATATATATATATATATATATATATATATATATATATATATATATATATATATATATATATATATATATATATATATATATATATATATATATAAGTATATATATTTGTATGTTTTTATAGAATTAAATGTGTAAAAAATTATATTTTTATTTAAGTGTGAATATTTATATATGAATTATTAGAGGATTATTTTTATTTAAAATCTGTTTAGGCGGTTCTCGATGACAAGATTTTATGATCTTCTGCGAGTATCCGCGTTCTTCTTATTTTAACGCTAACAAAGTTTTTTTAGTTTTTTTTTTTTAGTTTATTAATTTATTTCGCCGTTAAAAATATTTACAAAGTACAACAATATAAAAAGTACAATTGGCTGGAGCAAGAAGAAGGCATAAAATAGCCTTATCACCGAGCCCCAATAGTAACGCAAATAACTATCCGTAATATACAATAATCCGTAATATATAAGCAAAAGTTTTTAAAAAAAGACAATTTAAAATATTAAGAAACAAAGTTAAAAAGAAGGAAAAAAAATTAAAATAATTGAAGAAAAATAAAAAAAACAAAAAGAAATTATTAAAATATAGTAATAAAAATGACAAAAATTTTTCTGTTTTTGGTTATAAATTGGATGTGATTCGACATATATATTTGTATATATTATTTTCTTTCAAAATAATTCAAAATTCAAATAAAAATTTTGTTCCAATATTATAAAATATATCAAGAAAATTGTCGGTAACTTTAAGAGAATATATATATTCAATGAAAGTATGATAAAGACATTGAAATTCTTAGTATTGTTAAATGGTCTAGATTTTTAAATTCATGGTGCTAATTTAGTTTAATAAATTTTAAAGCTTTAAAAGTGACATTGAAGATCTGCTATATTAAAATCCGTAAGTACTAAATAACGCCTTAATTTAGATTTGAATTGCGGAAGTGTTTTTTCTTTAATATTAACAATATGCTGAAAGTTTTTCCACAAAATTGGACCCCTGTACTGAATAGAATAAGATTATACTTTTAAGTTACAAAGTTATTTTCTGAGAACTTGGTGGGGTATTTATGGCTTACTTCTCTAAAATAAGAATAGAATATCTCTGGAGACACTCCATGTTTTGTTTGATACATGAACTGTATGACGAGGAATATGTTAATTTTAAACACATTTAATGCATTGAATTTACGTAAAAGTGGCTCACAAGGCACAGATCTTTTTACTCCAAATACAATTCTACATGCATGTTTTTGTTTAGTATAAATTTTCTTTAACTTAGCATAGCTGTTGCTTGCCCATAAGATATTGCCGTAAGTTAGATACCTATGTATGAAGGATAAATATAAACTTTTTAGAGATCTTATATCCAAAAATGGTTTTGCTTTATACATCATTGCAATGTTTATTGAAAGTTTTCTTTCAAGAGTGTTTATATGTTTCCTCCATGTTAAATTTTCGTCTAAAATAATACCTAAAAAGTTTACAGTTGTTTGCCTAGTAATATTTATATTATTGATTTTAAGATTGGGTAATTCTAAAGGAAGGTTTCCTGTTTTGGTTGGTTTGTGAAATAGAATAAATTTAGTTTTGTTAACGTTAAGTGAAAGTTTATTACAAATAAACCATTCATTTACTTTGTTTATTTTTTCATTAACTACTTTAAAGAGATTTTAAATATCCCTATGAGAATAAAACAGATTGGAGTCATCAGCAAACAAAATAAAGTTTAGTATGTTCGAGGTAAGAGATAGATCATTTATATAAAGAGAAAACAGTAACGGTTCTAAGATTGAGCCTTGAGGAACTCCACATTTTATTTTACTTTTTCTCGTTTTAACATTTTCATATTGAATGTATTGAATGTATAAGTAATCTTTAAACCATAGTAAATTATTGTTTTTTATTCCATAATGTTCAAGTTTTTTTAAAAGAATGACATGGTTGACTGTGTCAAAGGCTTTAGACAGATCATGTAATTTGAAGAATCTGTGCCATCGCCAGACTTAAAAATAAGCAAGACCCGTGCAATTTTTAATTTTTCTGGAACTGTTCCAGATTGAAGAGAAAGATTAAAAATGTGATATAAAGGAGTTTCTATAATATGAAAAACTGATTTAACAACATTTATTCTAATATTATCAAAACCTACACTTGTGTTGTTTTTAAGATTATCTAGAGCACATCGTAACTCATTAATATCTAGTTTAGATTCGTCCATGACCTTATCATATATTTTTAAATAAGAGTATGCGAAGACAAGGTTAAAGCTGTAGGCGAAAAAATAAATAAAGTTTGTGAAGATTTAACTAATGTCAGAAAAATGCAGGGAAAAATATCCTCGGACAATACGGAACTAAAACTAAAAAGCGTAGATAATGAAGATCGAAACAGGCGCGATAACTTAAGAATCGATGGGATTATTGAAACAAATGAAGAAAAGGATTGGGATATAACTAAATAAAAAATAAAACAGCTTTTTAACGTAAAACTTGGAATCGAGAAAGATATTAAAATTGAACGAGCCCATCGAGTTGGGCTCGCTAAATTAGAACGAGAGCGAACCATTGTACTAAAGCTTAGAGATTTTGAAGATAAAAAAGTAATCTTAGAAAATGCAATAAAATTAAAGGGGAGTAATATTTTTATAAATGAAGATTATAGTTTTACAACTCGTAAAATACGCAAAGAACTTTTTGAGCAGGCGAAGCTTCATCGTCAAAATGGTCATTATGCTAAAGTCGTGTACAATAAACTTATTGTTCATGAATTTAAAGAAAACATCCACAAAGTAGTTAACTTGACGCATGAAAATGAAGCAATCGAACGCAACGCATCTGTTTGTTTGACGCACGGAAACGAGTAAGCTTTTTAAAAGTTTTTGGTTTAATTTATTGTTATATTTTTTTAATCTTTTTAAATTATTCGTTAAAAATGGCTACACATTTTGAAAATTTAAAATCTTTTGAAGAAAACATAAATATTTTTCAAGAAACTCAAATTAACTTAATTGACACACCATATATTGATCCTTTTGATTTTAAAACAACAAATGATCATTGTTCTTTTTCAG